GGGGGGGGGCGGGGGGCAGGCAGCATCTCACAGCCTGACCAGGGTGCAGGTCAGCAGGTCTCGCAGCCTGTTCAGGGTGGAAAATATGGGAGGGTGGGGTGGGTCTGCGGCTGTCACCTACTATTCCTTGGACCTGACTCACTTGCCCCTTACTTACTTATGATACATTCTTACTTTAAGATACACCGGAAGCTAACATCCTATTGAACTTTATAAGAGAAAATACTGAAACAAGTGCTCTGGAAAACGAAATTGACACTTACTGGAAAGACTCCGTAAACTGTGAGTGACCCTTGAAATATGATTTGAACATTTAAGAGGTCAAAATTTGGGCCTCTGAACTTTTATTTGACATAGTAAAACTACCCTGTTCTAATTTCTGTAAAGGTTAGATTTCCAGTTCTAAAAAGTAAAGTTTTGGGGTTTTTTATAATCTTTTCACCAATCTGATAAAAGCTAGTGACCCTATCCATGTAAAGACAAGTGCACCCACGCACAGAATTTTACAGGAAATGTCCTGCATTCACAGACACGAGTCCACGTAGTCCCCATTGAGGCTAGACTTTCAGAGAGTCTGTTTATCACCATCTGTGGCTCATAGGGACCCGAGGGAAAAGGAGAGAAACTACTTGGAGTCTTAACTCATTCCCTAGAGACATTCTCCCTACCGTCTTCTGGGAGGCGCAACACTTCATCACCAGAGCGGACACACAACTCGCCTCCAGAGAAAACTGATTGAATTCACTGGGAACTTAGTACTCTGCAATTCTTCCAGAGTTGTGGAGAAGCAGGAACTTTGCCACTGCTCCCTGCAGGACAGCCAAGCCGTCTCCTGTCCACTGCAGTTGCTGAAGGCACAAGTCAGCAGGGGTCAAAATTGAGCTCTGATCATTTGACCTGAAAGAAGGGACTATACTCTAGCTAGCTAGTACACAGGTGTTTCTTTTGGTAAACGCAATAGGAAAGTCAGCACAACATAACCAAGGCAAAGAAGACACTGAGAAGTAGGCCGGCATAAAGGACAACCAGAGTATATGCTATAACATGTGTGATTCTATACTAACAGTACTAGCCAACAGTAATGTGTGAGTAGGTACTTAGGTCAATATGTATGTTATACAGGTGACAGAAATCCTAAAGGAGTACACCTGCATAGGTGTGGTGGGTGGATATTTCTACTTGCAAATTTATAAGTGCTGCATGTAAACTCATACATGTAATAGAGCACATGGGGGGGTACAATTATAGAAACTACTTAGACATCAGGACTGAAGGCTAAGGACTCTATAGTCTTGAGTGACATTAAAGTCCATTGGAACCCTGCCCCCCTCCCCCGCATCCTCCACACACACGCCCCAATTCATAAAGTCAATGGTCAAAACTAGTCTCTCCTGTTCATGAAGGTAATGTCCTACATCCTAGTCTGGTGACTAGTGTCTGAGGTTTAAAAGCTCGTAAATGGCCAACTTAAGACGCAGCTGTTGGGTTCTTCCTGCCTGGTGCAAGAAGAATGAAGGGAACAGAAATTTAAAGGAAGCAATTCTTCCAAAGCACTAATAGCCCACATAAACCACAGCTTCCTCTAACCTGAGACTATGAGAACTAGATGGTGCCCAGCTACTAGTACCCACTGCACTGACCAGGATCTAAATAGAAGGACCAATTAGGATGGCTAAAAAAACGTATAACCAAATTAAAATTTAAAAAAATGAAAAGACCAGACTCACTGGTCTGAAAGAAACTGGAAGAACCTCAAGACAGTCATCTTACTCCAAACTGAAAACACTTCTGCAGGTCACTTTTTATCCAGTTAATAAATGGACCTATAAAATAATAACACCGAGGAAGAATGTGAATATAAGAACAGTTAGACATATAAGACCAAAATAGCAACATTTGTCCAAAACAGAGATGTGAAGACAGAAATGGACAGGGAAGCCAGACAAATGGAAACGGGGAACCCAGTGAGGAAAAGGGGAGCGTGCTGACTTTTTGTAAGGATTGTAGCCAATATCAGGGAACAATATGTGTATAAATTACTCATTGGAAAACTAATTTGCTATGTAAACTTCTACCTAAAACACAATAGAAGTCCAAAAAAAAATTGTGTTATCTGAGTTAAAATACTTACTGTAACTTGGAAGCATTTAAAACTGTCAGGTCCTGGGATCTTAGAAGTTCTTAAACAATTATCTAAGATGCAGCTAATGGTCTCTCCCTGTCCAGAGGGAAAAAATCAAAGATGCATGGAAACAATTAGTCCAGTAGGCTAATGGACCACAAGAACATCTCATTGGGGATCTTCATCTTTTTCACTGACTCTCCACTTTATAAATCTTGATGTCTTTCTCCAAGGATTGATCCCTCTTTGAAGTATGAGAGATGAAGTTTGGCCATCCTGGTCTCTAAGGAGCATTCTGGCTGTATTTCTTCCAACACAGATCTTTTTTTTTTTTTGTTCTGGTAGTCCAAGGTGCTTATAATATTATTCTCTAACACCATTGTTGTCCAATTTTCACATGCATATGAAGCTATTGAAAATACCATGGCTTGATCAGGGGCACTTTAGTCCTCAAGCCTGATAATGTTTGTTCTGGAACACTTTAGAGAGAGCTTGTGTAGCAGATTTTTCTAATGTGATACATTGTTTGATTTCTTGACTGCTGCTTCCATGAGCATTGATTGTGGATCCAAGCAAAATAAAGTTTTTAACAGCGTTATTTTTTTCCATTTATCTTGATGTTTATTGGTCCAGGGTGAGGATTTTTGTTTTCTTTACATTGAGGTGTAACCCATACCTATGGCTATATTCTTTGATCTTCATCAGTGAGTATTTTAAAGTGCACTTTGCTTTCAGCAAGCAAGGTTGTATCATCTGTGTATCACAGGTTGTTAATAAATCTTCCTCCAATCCTGATGTTCTTCTTCATGTTACTCAGTTTCTTAGATTATTTGTTCAGCATACAGATTGAATAAATATGGTGAAAGGATATAACCCTGGCCCACACCTTTCCTGATTTTAAACCATTCAGAATGTATCCCCTTTTACTTTTCTAACAACTGCCTCTTGGTCTATGTACAAGTTTCTCACGAGCACAATCTAGTATTCTTAAATAACCATTCATCATAGTACCCATAGTTTGTCATCATCTACAGTCAAAAGCCTTTGCATAGTCAGTAAAACGCAAATAAGCATCGTTCTGGTAGTCTCTGCTTTCAGTCCAAATCCATCTGACATCAGCAATGATATCCCTCATTCCACATCCGAATCCGAATGTGGCTTTAATCTTTGGCTGTTCTCTGTCTATGTACTGTTGCAATCATTTTTTTAAATTATCTTCTGCAGAATTTTAATTGCATGTGATATAAATTATATTGTTCAATGATTTTCACATGCTGTTGGGTCACCTTTCTTTGAAATGAACACAAATATGGATCTCTTCCAGTTGTTTAGCCAGGTTTGTGTTCCAGATTTCTTAGTATAGTTGTGTGAGCATCTCTAGTGCTGCATCAGTTTGTTGAAAGATTGAAGTTTGTACTCTATCAGTTCCAAGACGCTTGTTTTTCGTCAATGTCGTTAGTGCAGCTTGGACTTCTTCCTTCCTTCTTCAGTTCTCGCTACCACTTGAAATGGTTGAACATCAATCATTTCTTATTGGTACAAGGGACTTTGTTTATTCCTTCCATCTTTTTTTTTAAGGTTTTTATTGTGGATTGAATGAAAGTTTTCAGGGCAAATCATCAGTTTTACGTTCAACAAATCATACACTTCGTTTCATTACAATGATTATAATCCCCTCCATGTACCATACATTAACAGTGTTTCTCTCTATTCACTTTAGCTTTTTTTTTTTTAAACAAACAAAAAAACACTCAGGCATATATAATAATTTACACCTGTAAAGGGCACATTCTGCAAGTCAGCCTCCTAGCCACTAGCTCTTAGTCCCTCTCTTCCCAAGAATCTAGTGTCCTCAGCCACTACCCCTCTCTATGACCGCATCAATGCTTCCGTCTCTGGTGTCGCTGCTTCTCTGGATAAGGTCCCACATTCTGCTTGTGCTCTTCTCCCTTGATGGTC